GGATTGGAGGAAAGAAACAGTCGACGTTCATTGCGTATCACAGCGTCAACCCCTTGTGTTACAATAAAGCAAACTTAAAATATTGTACCATGGGGGGGAAATTGTACTGGGAAGGGAGGAACCTGAAACACGAAACGAAAGTGTCATTCAGTAATGAACCGATAGTTTTGGATTTACTGAAAAATGACGATGACAGAGTGTGTCTACAGTTTGATCAGGTGATCTGTTTTGCAAAAGACGAGGATGGTTCAGACCCTGAAAATAAAATAAAACAATTGACTCTTGAACTAAAGAGGCAGGAAATGGAAAATAAGAGAAAAAGACTCGAACAAGAGAGGTTAAACTCTCTCAGTGAGCAATATGAGCAATTAGAAAAACAATACGATAATTGGAAGCTACCTAGCCCTAATCAGAATCTATTTATAGATCTGATGCAGGAAATAGCTACCGAATTAGGATTAACTAATTGTTGGATATGTGGCGGCCTGAAATCAGCCGAAAGATGGCCATGGAAGGGAGAAGGATTAACCCCGGAACAATTACTTAAGTGGACAGGATTGAAATTATCCAAAACAACCCGGCGACCAGAGGGGTGGGTGATTGACAAAAGAATCATTGGAACTTTTTGTGTCAGTCAGGAAGGAAGGGAATTCACCGAGCTAGTTGGTTACACCCCGTGTGTAAAAACTCTCTCGGTAAATTCAGATAAAAAGACAAAAATTTGGCAGCCGGAATCACCCGAGGGCTATTGGAGCCAATCTCGGGAAAATAATTGCGAATGGGTAGATCTAATTGGTTTATGTTGGAACAAACAGGACGGGGCGAATCCCTTCCATGCCTTTCTCGGCCTGAGGGAATATTGGGAGGACCCGGCAAAACTTAACAGAGATTGGAAGGCACCGGATGGGATTTACTGGATATGCGGAAAGAAAGCATACAGTGAATTACCCAGAAATTGGAAGGGGTCATGCACACTCGGAATAATTCGGCCTTTCTTCTTTACATTACCTAAAGATGAAAGTAGGTCTTTAGGTGCTCCCCTCTTTGAAACTCTAGCCCGACAAAAGAGGGAATTGAAACGAGAGCTACCAATAGCCGGAGGTAACCACAAATGGAAGGGGGAGGAATGGCCCGCCGAAAGGATCATACAATATTATGGACCGGCAACATGGGCAAATGATGGCAGTTGGGGATACAGGACCCCAATCTACCTCCTCAATCGGCTCATTAGGTTACAGGCTGTGGTAGAAGTTGTTTCAAACCACACTTCAGAAGCCCTGGAACTCCTAGCAAAACAACATTCCCAGATGAGAGCTTTTGTTTACCAAAACAGACTCGCTCTCGACTATTTGCTAGCTGAGGAGGGAGGAGTGTGTGGCAGATATAACGAGTCAGAGTGTTGCATGGAAATAGATGACTTCGGAGAAACTATAAAGGGTCTAGCTGCTGAAATAAAGAAAGTAGCCCATGTACCCGGTCCAGAAATGGAATTCGATTTTACAAGCCTCTTGGTGGGATCAAATTTTTGGGCAAGGGGCATGGTGGATAAAGCTAGTATTCTTTATAGGATGTTCAATTGCCGGAGTCATCTTCCTACCCTGCCTAATTCCTTGTCTGATCAGACTGATACATTCTGTCGTTCAAGGAATGCAGATTGCCTCTCTCCCAATAGACCCAGAAAAGGCACAAGGAAACGCTACCCTTCTTTCAAAAAATCATGAAGTTAGAAGAAGAAAAAGAGAGTAGAAATGCGGTCAAAGCATTGAGAGAATTTGAAAACAAACATATGTTGTCCCCAGAAAATGTAGAAGAGTTAGACAAAGAGGAAAACGACATTATCTAACCCGATATTCCTCTGAAAAAGTATGTAAACACGAATTTTTAATATGATCAAATTATTAGGTGGGGGACTGTAATAAAGAATTGGGTAAATAAAAATTCGGAATAAAAGGTTTAAATAAAGTATGTGTAATTATAAATGAAAATAGGGAATAAGGAATTCTCCTCCAGGTCGAGGCAGAATTCCTTTTCCAAAGTCACGGATTGCAAAAGAACCCCCAGATAACAAGCTTCAGCAGGCTCATCAACTCGGAGGAAAGGACAGGACACAGGCCATCATAGAAACAAAAGAACTAGCCTGAAAGTCTACCTCCAGATAAAGGCAACGCCCGGCCGATTTCGGCCGGAGACCATCAAGCAAGACAAAAGGGACGAGCCCCAGGAAAATGGTCGTTGCCAGAATCGAACACCACACCCGCCAAACCCATACTACAGAAAATCAATCAAGAAAGACAAAGAAGAGACTACTCCTCCGAGATATCCATCGGCGCTAGCCCAGATCCCTCGATTCTGCTGTGATGAAATATGTTAAAATACATACAGACTCACTTTGCATTTGAGGAGACTCTGCCCGGACACTTACTGACTCAATGTTCTAGGCCAGGAAATCCATTCACCCGACAATCAGGGACACTTGGTGAATGGAAACTGGTTGGAATTCTAGCCTGGGGACATAAAATCCCTATAAAAACCCAGGCCAGAGAACCCTCAGACGTGGATTTGGGAACACCTATACCTTGCGTATAGACCCTGTCCACCCAGCGCTGCGCTGTCCATTTATTGTGGTTTTTCCTCGCTGTTCGTTGCTTTATTAATTTATAATAAATTTATCTTTGTTAATCTTTAATCTGCCGTTGCATTTATAACAATTCTTAACAGAGGGGATAGAGGAGACACCTTGGTCTTGGGCTGAAATTCTCTTTGTAAGGCTATGGTGAAGATATATTTGATATATCAGCGTTTGTTTTTTCCCTGTAATTCATGAAGCACATGGAGGGATGCAGTATTCACCTGCAGCCCATGAGAAAAGGGCACTCCTGCTGGAGCATGTAGATACTGAAAAGCTGTAATCTAATGAGAATCTTGAACGGAGACATATAAGAAACTTTGCCCCAGGGATAGACGAAGAAAAGTCTCTGTTCCCAGAGACAAAAGAAGAGAGCTTTTGTTTTTTTATGCTAGAACACCTCATCCTTAAAATAAAACACCATAAGTTGACATGGCCCATGAAAATAGCTTTGGGAAAGCTGCAAGGCATAGGAGGAAGTTTCACACTGCAAACAGATTTTCCTTTCTTGGGCGACTGATTTGCTGTGACATTGAAGCCACAAGAAAATTGTTCCTTGTGCAGAAGTCTCCATGGTATGGCAAGAGAAACTCTTCTTCCTACAAGAACTGATGAAAGACTATTGTAGAGGTGGTAGCTGATTGAAAATCCCAGGTTTTGTCTCTACATTGTCTGTGGGAAAGAAAAGAGGTTTTAGGGAAGGGAGAAGTGTTCTGAAGGTTTTATTCTGATACTTATTATCGTTTTAGTTATGTTAATAAAATTTTCTTTATACCTTTAAAGTTTTGGGCCTGCTTTGCCTTCCTCCTAATTAATATCTCACAGCCAGAAATGAGTAAATAATTCTAGTAGGTGCACTAGCAATTTTAGCCAACACTAAACCCACCACAGTATTGTATTAACAGCATGGGAAATTGGGTAAATCGGGATGAATATTTTGCTAATTGAACTATCCAAAACTTTATCCTTTGAACTTCCTTCAAAGTAGCGGTAATGTGTTCTTTTAATTCTAGTTGCATATAATTATGGCCTCCTTCTTCCCATTGTATTCCATAAGCTGTGATTAAAGCTCAGTCCTTTGAATTTGAAAAAACTCAATTGTAAAAGTAATTTTTTAACCTGTGTTTGATTAAAGTCAGTCTTAAGCCTTGTGACTAGAATTTCTACTTTCCAAGTCAAGACATTGACTTAAGTGGGATCTAAAGACCATATATGAATGCTTTCACGTATAACGCACTTTATTCCACACAGGTCTGACTAGAAGCAAGGACTTTATCTAATTAGGAACAACACTGTAAAATTCAAATAAAATAACTGTGTTAGAAACCAGCTCTGATAGATATGTTCTTAGAAGGGAAAAATATTTTTGTTAGAAAACCAGTTAGTATTGTTTTAAAAGTCCTCCGCTCTTTGACAAACTCATTGAACTACCTTGTGAAAAATAAACACTATGTCTACTGGTACTAAACAAAAGTAAGATATTTATGTGCAGCAGTATTCTTCTTTTGATTATTAGTTTTCTAATAATTTTCTAGTAAGTAAGCTAAATGTTTGTAGATTTAGCAAATACTTGACTGTGGCCTATACCAATTTGGTACGTAAGCAAAATTTTTTGATTTTGTGATTGTATTTTTTTTTACAAAACTTTTAAAAGCATAAAAAAATAATTAGTGTTTATAACTACATCTCAACAACTCCCACTCAACATTTCTTTAAAATTGTAGATTAACTTTTTGAAGACTGAAATGGAAAGGAAGAGCAAAATGATACGAGACCTCCAAAACGAGGTAAGAGGAACATTTGATTGTCATCTCAACTCAGATTTCATATTGGACGAGAGTGTGCTTTGGTTTTATATATAAAACATGTTATTGTAATAGGCAGAAAAGGCACCAGTGAAATTCTCTGAACAGAAAAGCAAACTAAAATGACTGTGTGCATTTAGAAATAGTGTTTTATTGAATGCAATGGTTGACTCCATGCTAGTGGTGCTTAGTTTGATAGCACAGCTCTGTAACTTTTGCTGCTTTTTCAGAAAGGAAGTTATGTAGATTATTGACACACAGTGAAACTTTGTTCATATTGTTATTGCTTGCTTTAAAAATAAATAACAAGTGGATGAGAAAGGCAGTGCAGTCTCAGAACTGAGATTACTAATAAAATTTGAAAAAACCTTAAACTCCTAAAATGTTTTCTTAAGCTTTGTATGCCATGAATATCAATCCCAAAATTCCAAATAAAATATAAAATACGTTTTAAATAATGTTTCTTGGTATTGCACTGAATTTATTTTGAAGTTTGGTCCTGGAATAGAAACATGAAATATTTGAGCAGCATTATATTCCTTTTCCCCTTATGTCTTTTTCTCCAAACAATTTGCCTAAAGCAGAATGTAGTTTCCCTTTCAATTTTTTCATTCTGCAAAGAACTTTGCACTTGAAAATATTTTATTCATATGATATTTGTTTTCTTGCCAACTAGGCTTCTTGTCTTTATCTGCTTTGTTCAATTCTTTTGCTTTTCTAAACTATTCTGAGTCTGTGCATATGAAAACTGGATCTCCTTAAAGCTATCATTTAAACAGGGATCTCTGATTTCATTGGTCTATGAGATTGTATACATGTGGTCAATCTGAAAAATGTGTAGATTACTTTCTAAGTCATAAATGTGTCCTAGTTTTGGACAGAACATGATTAATTTTTTATAGTAGTCAGGAAGGTGGCATGGCCAGGCCGTAATGTTATTTGATTCCATCTCACATGACTTTCCAGGGGCAGGAACAAGGAATTCTCTCATTTCTGGTTCTGTTTGAGAGAGAAAAGCATGGTGACTGAAATGGTCTGGTACTGCTTTAATTTCTGTGTAATTTGTTTTTCTTTCAGCTTTTGTTATTAATATTGCTGCTGTTACTGTTCATTTTCTTATCTCATTGCTGTTTCTTGTAAATTGTTCTTATCTCAACCTGTAATTTTCACCTCTGTGCCTCCAATTCTCAACTTCATTCCTGGAGTGGAAAGTGGGAGGGGAAGGAGGAGAGGAAGTGAACTGGTCTGGGAAAGTCTCACTGGGATACTGAATTGGCAAGAACTATTCTTAAACCACGACCATAGGAAATGGCTCTTTCAGTTGCTCATGTTATTTAGGCCATGCTCTCAGTTGCCTTCATCTGCAGTCAAAAATGCCTTGCTCTCTTTTCTTACCTGTTATCATTGGATGCTTTGCAATTGAGCTGGTAAGCTCTTAATAAATCATATCAGTCTCATCCTGTTGACCAGACATTAAAAAAATCTTTCCTCTTACTGAACTCAAATAAATACTTCATTAATCAACATTCAAACTATCTGACTTTTAATGATTTACTAAGGTAGGTCAGTAGACTTCTCTAATATTTACCATATTTATAGCACATTTTAGAAAATCTACTCTGATAGGAATCTGTTTTTTTGGCACCAAATATCAGCTACTATGTGAAAAGGAACCAAAAGCTATACCCACCTAATGGCTTTCTATCAAACTTCTATACCAAGTTTGTTAGTTCCGTAAAAATAAACACTTAATGTCAGGTTTTTTTTGGAAATTTGACTGAAGTTAAATTATATGATTTTGAATAAATATTATGTTATTTAGGTCCTGCCTCCAAACACTGAATACATATTGCTTTTAAAAATCTCATAAATTTGGATGTGGTATATATTTAAGTAATTTTCTGTGTAGGTTTTGAAAGAATAATCTGCATATAAATATATAGAGACAGATGATGAAAATGTTTCCTTCATAGCTGCTCTTGTTCTTTCAAATATTGCATTTACCCTCATTTTACATTGCCAAATTGTGAATTTTGCAATCTTAGGCTCTTCAATGACTGTAAAAATAATTTCCTATTTAGTTCTTCTCTTTCAGCATGTAACCTAGTGCCATTCATCTTTGCCATTTGAAGATACAAATAGATGGCAATAGTCTTCCAGCTGAATGCAGCAGCTGTCATGTAGTTTCTGAGGAGATGACATTGTACAGAAAGGCAACTTCTAGACTATTCAAGGCTTTGGGGGAAAAAAAGTAACAAAAAAATTTATCTGTGGTATGGAGGGAAAAAAGTGACAGATAGAGCACAAAGGGATTAGATGTCCCAAAATCATCTGGTTTTTAGAGGTCTTTAAGTGCTTCCTGCAAATTCCACAAAATATCTGTCAGACTTCCAGCTGTAACATCATGTGGATTGTGTTAATGTAGTCTTGAGGGACTGGCATGTAAACAGATATGCTCTTATTTCAAGCAGTTTCTTATTTTCTTTATTAACAAACCAAGAAGTTTGGAAATGCAGAAGCATTGATAGAACTAAGAAGCTTGCAAAAATGTAGAGTAAAATAGAATATGTATAAAAAGAGATACTTAAAAAACTTTCACTTTTGGAGATGGCTTTTTATAGGGTAAGCATCTCACTGCTAGCGTATATGGTTTGTGGGAAATTGTGCCTGTACTGGGTCTGACTGAGATAGAGTTAATTTTCTCTTTAGCAGCCGTCCCTATTGATAGCACATCAGAGTTTCAGCTACTGCTGAGCAGCACTGTCCCTCTGACATTCCTTCCCCCATCAAGGGAGAAACAAGATTCTGGGAGGGGACATAGCCAGGCCAGCTGAGCCAAATTAAATTATTATGGATATTCCATACCATATGACATCAGCTCAGATGCAAAAGCTAAGGGCAAGAGGACGGACGGGGAGGCATTCATCATTCTACAAAGTTTGCCTTCCAGAGGAACCACTATGCTGAGGCCCTGCTTCCCAGAAAGTGTCTAAACATCGCTTGCTGATGGGAAATAGACATTAAGTTTTCCCTTTGCTTATGTAGCACAAGCTTTCACTTGCTTTTTTTCCTTTGCTTTAGTAAAGTGCCTTATAACAGCCTACTAGTTGTTTTCCATCTTATTCTCTCCCCTGTTCCACTGGGAAGGGGAGTGATAGAGTGGTTTAATGGGCATCTGCCACACAGCCAAGGTCAAACCACTACAGTGCCAAAACTGCTCTAGAAATGAAGCTGAAGCAGAATGCTCTGTTAACCCTTTTTTTTAATGTCAGAAAAGTCACAAGTCTTGACAATTTGGTACTTAGAACTAATTGTTTTAGTGCAATTCTGAATATGTATGTACATGATGGATTAATTTCTTAAATTAATGTCTTTTCTACACTGAAGTGTATGTCGTTCCGATTGGGAACGGCTAGAAAGAACGACACAAACTCTCAAGGGAGTTTCAACACGGGAATTCTCTAGTTTATTGCTTCAGGCCTGTCTTATAGACAGATACGTGGAAAGTACAGAAAGGAAACTCTTATTGGTTAGCAAAGTGCTACATTACCATCATTGGTCAGGGGCACTCTAACCCCCTGACTCTGTCCTGCAAGGGAAAACAAGAGGACAGATAAACAGCACCTGGCAGTTGTTTGCTGTCTCTGAGGATTGTTTTGAAATCCTCCTTTGAATTTCTCAGGCTAGCTTCTCAGGCAGGACTGAGAAGCCATGGGCCTGCAGTTTCTGCAGCTCCCTGCAGCCTGTTCCAGAGCTAGCATCCATAAAGTGTGTGGTGCATTTTTTAAGTTTGTTATTATTTTCCTACTGGTACACCTATAAAAGTGATTTTTCTCTACTGAACAGTAGACAATTGTTATTCAACTTTGTCACATGGATGCTTTGTCACATGGATACTATACTTGTCCCACATTAGAGTTAGAAATTAGAAATGTATAGAGAAAAAAAAACTACTCTTATTTAAACCATTAAAATTTGCTTAACTATTTTAACCATTTTATTGCATTTGACAGGAAGTGACTGACTGGCTTAGCATATAACCTTGGAGCAAAGAGGTTTATAATATTTTTATGAATATCTACATTAAAATACATTAATAGCTTTATAGATTTATAATAATCCCATGCATTTGTAAAGTTGATACAGAGGTTTTTAAAAGGCAATATATTTTTTTGCTGTGTAGACCGTGGCAGAAATTTGAAAAACATTAATGAATTTTGGCTGTAGCTCTCAGTAATATGGGGAGCGGTTGCTAAGAAGGATAGTTTTAAATCACAACCTTGTAAACAATTCTTGTGCTCTGTTCATAAATAAATTGTGGTTATAGCTTTACTGTTGAGTAAATCATCCTAAACCAGATTTCTTTTTTTATTCTCATTGTGTTTAGATGCAGTAATAAAGCTTAAATTAAATAAAGCTTAAGCTGCAGCAGCTTAAAGTCTCGCCTGATATATTGGGAATTTCATTCCCTACAGGGTGAATTCAATTGAGTTGTATTGAATTATGGTGGGAAAAAAAAAAAAAAAAAATGTCCCTTAGTAAAGCAGAAATTAAATTCTATGGCTTTGAGACTGCATGCTGATACTGACACTGGAGTTCTTCAGTTTCCATTCTCTGCAGATGAAGCTAACTTTTTTCCCTAAGTATAAAATCTAGGTGCAAGGTTTAAAGATTTCCATTCATAAACCACAACAAAGTGAAGGAAGGTTCCAAATAAGAATGTTTGGGTAAAATATATCCTTAACGAATGAGAAGATTAAAAATTAAAAGCTCTCTTTTTAACTGGTACTTAACCACACTGTTTAGAAAACTAACTGCTTGGATTTATCCTGATATTATTTGTCTGTTGTCTTGTTTGTTAACTGCACTGTTAAAAAATCAGAAATGTTCACTAGTAATCAGTCATTCCGATGATTTTCCTCATGCTGCCCAGGACACTCTTAAATTCTTAATTCTGACATCCTTCTTCATTAAGTCAAAAA